CAAAAGCCTAACCGCAAAGGCAGCGGTGTTTGGCGGGAAATGCAAATGCATACCCTTTCTACGGAACAAGTCGCCACATGTTCCAACCCCCAACCTGAACGGCCAGGAGACTGTTCGTCAGACCTCTAACCATTGACCAACCTGGTGTGAGAGACTCTGTGAGTGTCGCGGGACACTCTCCAGTATAGCTCAATGGATCGCTGAGGTGCGCAAACCGTCACACCACGGTAAGGTGCAGTCTCTTCGTGACGGCGGGTAAAATGTTACGCTTGTGGTTGGTCTGGTCGTATATACAAAACATCTGCGGAGTGAGATAAATGTGTTAGATGTTCACTCGGAGGTGAAGGTTGTGAAAATAACTAACTTGCTATGCAGTCTCTTCGTGACGGCGGGTAAAATGTTACGCTTGTGGTAAAGTTGGTCGTATATACAAAACATCTGCGGAGTGAGATAAATGTGTTAGATGTTCACTCGGAGGTGAAGGTTGTGAAAATAACTGACGGAACTTGCTATGTACTTTACATCTCACTGGTCGTTTTTGTTAAATCATACGGCACTAATTCAAATGTTGCGTTGGTTTAGGGCAGCATTGTTCGGAAAGTGAATCGAATGTCAATTCAAACCGAATTTCTTCTGTAACAATTCAGTATGAGGAATAGCGTATCAATGGCTTCAGAAACTGAGATAGTATGTTTATACTGTTCAACATGTTTTCAGTTCGCTTCTTTCCCAAGCAATTATTTCGCAATGAGGCTCGCGTCCAATAAAGTTTGGTCGTACAGTTGTAAAACATCGGTCTTCAATACTGATGTTTCTATAGACGAAGAAAACCACACATGGCCCTTGCGAATATTATTGACAGTTTAGACCGGGTTTGTAATGCAATTAGGTTCACGCCAATCGGAAAGCAGCAGCGTTGTGTAGCAAGTTAGCAATAACGTACCGAAATCAAGTCTTCCGTTCGGATTTGAGGACTCAGTGAATAACCAAGGTTGACGAGTTGCGCGACCACAGCCTCAGTGGCAACGTTTCCCGGGGCATTTGGTCCGGCGTATGGACAACCACCCAGACCAGCAATTGACGAGTCTACAATATTGACTTTATAGTCGTCCAAAGCCACTCTGATGTTTTTTAATGCATTTCCACCAGTATCATGACAGTGAACTGCAACAGCTTCACGTGGACAAGCCCCGGGACAATCTAAGACGACAGATAGCAAGGCGGCCATACTAGACAGGATATTCGAAGAAGACAAAAAAAGTTCACTTTGATTACGAAAATTGACGAGTAACATAGAGTAGCCTACCACACACGAATTTAGCATTGAGCAAATTTGGATGAAAATTATTCATACTTAGCGGAATCAGCGAAGATTGTGTCCAAAGTACCTTTCTGGGGTGCCCACGCCAATAGTATCGCCAAGAGAGATTTCGTAACAACCACGACTCCACAACATTTCGGCTACACGAGCCACTGCATCCGGAGCCACGGCTCCTTCATAAGGACAACCAATCACACAGGACACGTAACCGCGAACTGGAATGTCATGCTCCTTTGCCAGCTGCAACACCTAAAGCGGCAAGACGCACACAGCTATAAATAGGCGTACACATAAAACGGTGCATACAAGTCCAACGGTCAGTTTTTCTACGGTTATTCGGAAAACGAAGTCCAAAGTGTAGCAGGATTAGGGCCTAAAATAAATGACAGCCACTGGCAATTACTCGACATTCTATTGAGATCATTATTAGGCGGCGGTTCTGACCGACGGTGTAGCAATGATGTAGCATAGTGTGTAACATCGAGTGAGATAAACCCTCACGATAATAAATAACAAGGTGAGATTCAGCCTGGTTCGCCAACCGTTAAAAGCGGTATAATAAATGTTCTGCGCGGAATTAAGATAACTAGCCGTCAAAATAGGCAAACTAATCACCAATGGCCCTGAGGTGGTGTAGATTAACTGGATGCTAACGAAGCCCAACGATTATTCGGCTTCATCAAATGAGAGTACAGGAATCGGCCATGCAAACAGTTGGCTGTAGAAGGGTGATTGTAGGCTGCGTGGTTCTCAGATCAACACTGTATAACTGCTGGATAATAGGTCACGTGTTTGAACCCTGGAGACCCGTCTGATAAGACCTAACAATGGCAGCCAACCTCGTGCGACCGCGGTCACCAGCATATTTTTTTTATCCGACTGAATATTGGCAGCATAGCGTATTCGATCTAAGATGTAGAGCACATATCTGGAATTCCAGTAACGTTCAACATACATTTTATTTGGCTCGGGTTGACACCACGAGCTCACTGTCTTACCGCACAGTCGTATCGTTCAGCTGTAATATACTGTGGCTGTCACGCTACCGTACAGTGCATCCAGCTTGACCTAATGCACCGGCTTAAAAGCAACGGAATGAGGAGCGGGCCGAATTGGTTCAAAAATACATAAGTAATACGCTTCGCATAATGAATTCGAATTGCATATAGAAGTCATATCAGAGCACGATAAGGAAAAGAGGAAAAATGAATGAAAAATGAAATTGCGGGAAATGAGAAAATTTTCTCCTAACTGAAAACAGCTTCCGAAGTCACTTTATCTACAGACAACACTCTAATTCACACCGGCTACATACCTGACATCTTTGGTTGTCAACGCTCAGTCGACTCTCAATCTAGAAGTGAAGATGCGCCCAACAAGTCAAAACTGGTGCAGAATATGTCATCTTTTTCGAAGTTACCTCGTCTTTCATCATCTGATGGAAACGTAAGTAGTGACCTGTAAAGTATTCAACACATGTGCGGGAAGCATCCATGCCACCTCAATCGCCGAGTCGGACTCACATCCATGGCTACTTTGGCACAATATTTGTCGACGGACCGCCCCGTTCCTCACGCGGTACTCCCACCAGGTGAGAAAAATGCCGCAACAGTTGCCCCAAGAGCTTGTGTAGAAAGACCATCGTGAGCTCACAAACAAAATAAGAACAGTTGACTTGGCTAGTCAGTAGCACTAATATCGGCCGACATGAATGAACAGCCTGCTCTCATTGACACAATCGAAAGATGGCCCGTCTCCGAGCTAAGTGCGGCGCAAACAATAGACTTTAAGTGCATGAGCTGCTAATTCGTAGTTGAGTACTGTAATCGGTTTACTTGCTCAGGCCATCAAAGTTAACTTTTTTAATGAACTGATAACAAGCATACAATAGACGGAGTCCAACGTCTCGTGTTAAATTATAATTGTACGGAGTGCTTTAACGTGTAAAAGAATTACCCTGAGTGACGCGCGAAATCACAATCCAAGAATTAAGAAGGCATATGAATTATTAATAAACTGAGGTAGTACACATCACAAAATATGTATACAAAACAGGTAAAAACTACTTCTATATAAATTGTTTCACGGATTGCTGCAAGTTCAAACAAAGCCAGAAACGTCATAAAAACCCATGTAGAAACAGCAAATCAATATGAGATAACGACGGACGTGTTATAACGCAAGCGGTCGAAAAGTGAATGTAAACAGCCTGCGAAAATTGGTTCAATAAGCCAGGAGTCAAAATTCATCAGAGATTCAGGGTGCTTATCGAAACAGTAAGAGAGACGCAAAAATGGTGGCTACAGGTAAGGGGGGTTTGAATGGTGGAAAGAAGGTCAACATAATTAAAAAACTAAGGAGGCAATGAACTAAACACGGTGAAGACAAAAGGTTGAAAGTTGGGAGTTGCTGGTTCCAAATGTGAATTGCTTGCGGTGAGATACAGTTAACTGAAGTTCCGTGAAGTAACATTCGTGATAACAGCGCTGGTTAAGCTATGGCACCCCTTCGGTATGTGCGGTCATCCACGTGTTATAACGCAAGCGGTCGAAAAGTGAATGTAAACAGCCTGCGAAAATTGGTTCAATAAGCCAGGAGTCAAAATTCATCAGAGATTCAGGGTGCTTATCGAAACAGTAAGAGAGACGCAAAAATGGTGGCTACAGGTAAGGGGGGTTTGAATGGTGGAAAGAAGGTCAACATAATTAAAAAACTAAGGAGGCAATGAACTAAACACGGTGAAGACAAAAGGTTGAAAGTTGGGAGTTGCTGGTTCCAAATGTGAATTGCTTGCGGTGAGATACAGTTAACTGAAGTTCCGTGAAGTAACATTCGTGATAAGCTATGGCACCCCTTCGGTATGTAGCGGTCATCCCGAAGGAGCCACTAGGACGGAGATACTGCCAAGTTATCCAAACCTAGGACTGGGTTGGAACCACACACCGTACGGTTACTAGTACCTGCCATTAACTACTGAGCCATTTCGGCGCGTAGTCAACCGAAATTCGAATTCAAGATAGTTGCAACTTCGGATCGCTCTGTATCGTGCACCTTGCTGCGTTAATCATACAAGAGGTTTCAACCTAGATGCCGAAAAAGCACTTGGCTTAGTTCCTTTTGTTCCCAATCAACTATGCTGTACAACGTACTCGTGGTGACTGGCGACGGTAAATTATTAAGGCTTTAACTCAGGATATATCTGCATTGCGGTACCCATGTTGACCAGTGGAAGGGTGATAAAACAGGAACTAAGTAGTCAGTTTGCTGATACTTCCTGTCCTATTATAGCGACTTTAAAAAACTCAAGACACGATGGGATAAAACACTGCAAAGTAAAAATTGTCACGTTTTAATGAGTTTTCTTTTGTAAAATTGTGCTTGCCAATTTTCATCATATTCGCTATCAAAGAGGCGCATCACTGGGTCTCAAGGAACGAGTATATCAGTGCGGGTGTATTATTGTATGGCTGCCAGACTTGGCCACTTCGGGCGAAGGATGTGATAAATCTTTAAGTCTTTGACCATCAATGTCTGATATCTATGGCCGGAGTCGGCTGGGATTCGGAATGACGTGATCAGGAGACGGGTTTTGGTGAAGCAGGCATCTAAGATGGCTGGTCCATGTCTTACGAATCACAGGTTACCGTCTGCCGAAACGAGCAGTTTTTCTGTGCCTAACTGAAAGTGACATGGCAGAAGGGAACGAAGGATGTTGAGAAACGTTTGGGCGCTTTTGGCGATGTTCATCCTCCAGGATTAGGTCCACGTGCCCCCCCCCTGTGCTTGATGTGCTTGACTGGAGACAGTGGACGATATGGTGGCTAACCGATGCCCGTGGCGCTCACGCTGTTAGTTTCTATACAGATTGTCTGGGTGAGTATAGGAGATTCGGACGCCTCGGATGCTTTTCGTAGACTTAGCCTCCTTGTACCATTTTTATTTTCATTCCATTATGAGGCCTCATTTAAATAAACTGAAATGACCGTACGGTAGTGAAGCATTAGTATTCACATTTGGTGTTGCTGTCGGTGATTATGATGATCTAGCGTTTACACCTATCTTTCCCAGTTGGGAAATCTCAAGGGCTTGGCGGACAGTGGATGCTTTCAGATTTGGGAAAACAAAATTTTCAGGTTGATTATGGATCAGGTTTATCTGATATATATATATATATATATATATATATATATATATATAGCATTTTTTTGTGCGATTTTTGTTGAAAATGC